CTTTCTGCAGAGTGAAAACAAATAATAATATATATATTTATATTCATAGTTGCTTATTAACTCTTACTCATCCATATTTCTCTGAATTGTGCGTTTGGTATGGCTGCTGGCTATGAACATAATATCTTTGTTATGGCTTTCTTGGAGGTTTTTTGTGGTGTCCTTTATTGAACTCATTATTCGATTCGTTTTTGTTTCTGTTTGGTAATTGCTGTCTGTTTTATACACTACCGTCGTCTATTAGTGTCTATTCTGTTGGTTATGTTTCTTGTTATTTATTTATTTACTCATTTGTCAAAGTAACCTAAAGCAACAAAACAATATCTTTCCAGAATGATGGTGTTACCGCGCCGTGTGTTGTATTTACTGGCTGTGCTGCTCTGCGTTGCCTGTGTGTGTGTAACGGCTGAGGGAGATCCAACTGCTGTTAGATGCGTTGCTGATTCCTCTGATATTTCGAAGTGTGGATCTGCACCCTCTCATCCTGGTGTTTTTCCTGCTCATTCTAATGGTAACAACGCTGAGTCCTCTATTTCACATGGACGTCAACTCATTTCCAATCAAGGTTCTCCTGGTGGTGCTAAGGGTCCTTCGTGCCCAGCTGGTACTAATTGTCCTGCTGCTCCTCCCGCGGCTAACACCACAACCAAAGGAACTGGCCTTAACTACACCACAGGAACTGACCTCAAGTACAACAAAAGAGCCTGAAACTGGTGGAGCTGATAATACAAATGCTGAGAATGCCAATATACCCAATAATGATGAGGAATCAAACTCAACCATCACCACCACTACAACAACAACACTTTCTCCTGAACTCACAAACAACAAGAAGGGTGATGCAGACAGCAGCAGCAGTATCAGCAGTTCTGTGTGGGTGCGTGTGCCACTACTGATTGTGGTTACACTGGCCTGTATTCTTGTGTGCTGTTTGTGGTGCTGTGGTGTGACTCAGGTCATCCTTTGTTTTCTTTTTCTCTTTTTTGCATACATCCCTACAGTCTAACTCATCTTCCACCTGTTGGGATTATATTCTTCTTTTTTGTTTCTTAATGTTAATGATATTGTTTTTGTTTTAGTGGTTTAAGTACTATCACGAATAGTCATTACTTTCAATATTACCATTACATATAATTCTTATATATATATATATACGTACTGTTAACAGTAATAATAATAAT